TCTGGGAGTTGAAGTCCACTCATCTTAAAGTGGCCAAGTTTGGACAACACTGCTATATAGGCTTCTCATCTATGTAGTTGCTGACACCAACTTGATGGCGCATAATCATCACCATCATATGGTTTTAGCCAAGTCTGGATTGGAAAGGAAAAGAGACAGGCCATTTCCTAAAATTTTGGAAAACAGATAAATCAGAGCTGGAAGCAGAACAGAAAGGGAGCACCGTAACTTCTTCAGCATCCCTTTTTCATAACTTTGAATGCTCTTGCTGTTTCTGGCACTCTCTTGTTGCTCATTTAGCTGTTCAAGTTGTTCCTACCTTGGCTGGCCACCTACAGATGCTATTCCAATACAACTTCTTAGCATTAATGTGGAAAGGAAAGTTTTCCTTTTTCAGGAAATCTGTCGTTTATCCTGAAATCTCCTTTTTTAGACTGTGGTCCATACAGAAGTATAATGGAAATCTTGTGCATATGGATTCACATCCTTTGCTGGACTTTCTCAGTTGCAGCCAGTTGGAATAACTATCAGTTTTGAGTTGTTTCTCCTTTCATTTACTTTATAGGGCAAATCTTATCCCTTCAAAGGGCCTTTCCCTCCAATGTGGAATCCCATTACTTTTTTGGACTACAACAATCTATGGAGGACAATGGATGAAATGGGGAAAGAGGTAAGATTTGCACAAGTTGCAGCTGGGATATGGGTGCAGTTGTTTAGTCAGCATGCTGGGTGGGGAATTCTGGGAGTTGAAGTCCACACACCTTAAAGTTGCTGAAGAGTCTTTTTTTAATATGAACATCAGTAGAACTAGGTAACGCAGCCCATTCTCCAGATGGAACACTGTTCCAATTCACCTGTTCTCCTGAGATGCCTCAGTCCCTACTTGGGGGCAGGGGGGTGGTCTTGCCACTGTCTATGGGAGCATGAGTGAAAGAGACTCAATACCTTGAAGCCCAATTCCAAAACTGTTTACTTATTGTACTAAGTAATGGTGGGCTTAATCTTGTTTTATTGAGAAAACAACAAATATTTATTTAGCTTATTAGTTAGATTTAATTAATTAGATTTTTAAAAATCATGACTTATGTGGGAATTTCCTTTTGTTTTATCCCCACAACAGCAACTCTATGAGCTGGGCTGCATGGTCAGAAAGTGACTAGCCCAAGACACTACGTGAATGTTCATGAGTTGAACCTTGGTCTTTCTAGTTGTAGTCCAACTACTCAGCTACTGCACCATATACTGGCTCTCTGGTCTGGATGGTCTGGGTTTCTACAACCCAAGCATTTATTTATTGACTTACAGTATTTTATACCACTTTTAGCACCAAACTTTGGGTGGTATAAAAAAACTTCAAAATATTCATCCATGCAATTCATCTACCAAGTCACAGTAAAATAACCCTCTCTAAAACCCAAGGCATAAATGACAGAATTATTATAAAAACTGACCGATGTAAAACACTTCAAGAAAATCTTTAATTTTGAAGAGCAGGTAAAATTCATTTCATTTGGTGTGGTAGATTGGGGAAAAAGCACCGGGGTCTAGTAACAAGATTGGTTGATTTTTAAACATTTGTACAATCATCCCTATGCTGTCATTTTTATTTAGACGTGTCTCCTTTCCTTTCCTAGATTCCTAATGAAGCTCCATGGAAAGCACCACATGCAGAGGAATGGGACAAAATTACCATGGAAGAGTTACTAGATAAAGTGTGCTGGACAAAGTGAGAAATGGTTTTACATATACCATTTCTATGCGAGAGAAAATAATAGCATCTATGACAAGTAACCCATTTTGAAAGATAGAAGGAATATCTACTACACCAAATAGGCTTCTGATTAATTTTATTTCACAATTAGATGGGATAGTTTGCTCATTAAAAGTTAGGTATATGTATCTCAAAAATACAGAGGTGTATGTATGTATGTATGTGTATATATACATACATAT